GACTACTACTAGGTTTCAAAAACGAAGCTCTAGGCCTATGTGGAAATATTATAAGTTGAGTTTTGGAAGCGATGGGTGAAATCTTCCAGTTTTGTAAATAAGAAAAGAAAATATCAAAACTTTTCTGCAGTCTGCTGCAAAAAACACGAAGACTTCTTCCTTTAGCGGAAATGCCTGTGTCATCAGCGAACAAAGATTTGTGGCAACCCTGAGGCAAATCAGGGAGGTCCGAAGTGAAAACTGTTATACAATATAGGCCCAAGAATGCTACCCTAAGGAACTCCTGCTCTAACAGGTTGTCGATTAGATTTGGAATTTTGATAATTTACCTGCAGTGTTCTGTCAGTTAAATAATTTTGAACTAATTTCATAATATAAAGAGGAAAATTAAACTTTTCCAATTTAGCAATCAAACCTTCATGCCAAACACTGTCGAATGCTTTTTCTATGTCTAGAAGAGCAACTCCAGTTGAGTGGCCTTCCGATTTGTTTGAACGAATTAAATTGGTAACTCTTAAGAGTTGATGAGTAGTTGAATGCCCATGGCGAAATCCAAACTGCTCATCTGCAAAAATTGAATTCTTATTGATGTGAAGCATCATTCTATTCAAAATTATCCTTTCAAAAAGTTTACTTATTAAAGAAAGCAAACTTATTGGGCGGTAGCTAGAAGCTTCAGCTGGATTTTTATCCGGCTTCAAAATTGGAACAACTTTTGCATTTTTCCATTTATCAGGAAAGTATGCCAAATGGAAACATCTGTTAAATAATTTTACCAAGAAAGACAAGGTGCTCTCTGGGAGTTTTTTGATGAGGATATAGAATATTCCATCATCAACTTGCTTTCATATTTTGAAACTTTTTAGTTATAGACCTTACTTCGTCCAAATGGAGGCGAACCAGCCCCAGGTGGAAAGCCTCCCTAATAAAGATAAATTAATTAATTACTTCGTCCAAATCAGTCCCCCAGGAATCATCAAAAATACTTTCCCGAGAGAAAATATTCAGAAAATCCCGAGCAACCTGATTCTCAATAGGACTAGTAAGACCCAAACTGAAATTATGGGAACTCTCGAATTGCTTAGCAAGTTTCTGAGCTTTTTCCAAATTTGTGATCAAAATTTTACCACCTTCTTTAAGCGCTGGAATTGGCTTTTGGGGTTTTTTCAAAATTTTTGTGAGTTTCCAAAAGGTTTTGGAAGTCGGGTCTAATTAGAAACACTATTTTCAAAAGTTTTATTCCTCAGGGCAGAGAATCGCTTTTTAATTTGTTTTTGCAAATCCCGCCAGATAACTTTCATGGCAGGATCGCGTGTTCTTTGATATTGTCTCCTACAGACATTTTTAAGATGGATCAAGAGCTGAAGATCGTCGTCTATTATAATTGAATCAAATTTAACCTCGCATTTTTGTACTAAGGCAGCTCTTGCTTCAACTATAGAAGTAGTCAGAGATTCAAGAGAAAAATTAATTTCATATTTGGTTTGCAAAGGAATGTTTGGATCGAAGTTATTTTCCATAAATGTTCGATATTGCTCCCAATCAGCTCTATGGTAATTGAAAATAGAGCTGTTGGGATTACAAATTATTTCTTGGGATATTTCAAATGTTACTGGAAGGTGATCAGAACCGAAGTTAGCATGGGTAACCAATTGACTACAAAGTTGACATGAATCAGTTAAGACCAAATCAATAGTGGAGGGATTTTTTGCAGAAGAAAAGCATGTTGGGCTGTTTGGATATTGAATAGTGTAATAACCTGCAGAACAATCATCAAACAGAATATTACCATTGGAATTGCTTTGAGCATTATTCCATGAGCGGTGTTTTGCATTAAAACCACCAATAATGAAGAATTTAGACCTATGACGGATTAATTTCTGAAGGTCATCCTTGAGAAAATTCTTTTGCTGGTCTACGCATTGTAATGCCAAATAGACAGCTATAAACGTAAGTTTTTCAAATTTTGTTTCAACAGAAACTCCCAAAGTTTCAAAAACATTGGTTTCAAATGAAGAAAGAATTTTATGTTTGATTCGTCTATGAACAATGATGGCAACGCCACCACAGGGTCCATCAAGACGATCATTTCTATAAATTAAATAATTTGAGTCCTTCTTAACCTTATGGTCAGGTTTAAGGAACGTATCTGTTATAACGGCAAAATGCACGTTATGAACATTCAAAAAGCTAAATAGCTCGTCTTCATTATCTCTAAGAGATCGAGCATTCCAATTTAAAATATTTAATGCTTTAAATCCATTACTGAATTTTAAAGTCATGACAATATTATTTGTAAATTTTACTCCTGTTTGAATAGCATCAAACATGGAGTTAGATTTAAGCATATCAGAAATCATGTCAATTAATGATTTCTGTAAAAATTCCATTTTAGGGGCAGTAATGCTTCCTAAGTCAAAATTGTCAAAATTTCCGTTAGAACGTTGGTTAGTATTTTGATTTCTACCCGTTGCAATAGCAGCATAGGTAGCTCCATTAACTCGCTGAACATTGTTAGCAAAATGGGGAGTAGGTACAGATGAAAATTTTGAAGCAGGGGTGATATTTGTACCTACGGGTACGAATGTAGAATTTGTTCCTCGCTGAACGTTGTTAACAGCAGAGTAATTTGTACCTGGTGGATTTGTGGTTTTCACCACAATTTGAACATTTAAATTTCTTAGGATCTTCCTTCACAGGACAGTCGTCCTTTGCGTGAGAGGAATCACCACAATTCATGCATTTAGCTGGCATGTAGCAATTTTTAGTTCCGTGACCCCATCCCTGGCACTTACGGCACTGAGTGAGGTTTTGGAAATTTCCTCCAGTCTTCCTGAAGTGTTCCCACTTCACTCGGACATGGAGCATAAGGCTAGCTTTTTCTAAGGCCTTAAGGTTGTTAAGTTCACTAGACTTGAAGTGAACTAAATAAAAATCATTGGAAATCCCGTTGCGCGAATCGCGGGATTTCATTTTGATTACTTGGAGTGGTACAACTCCAAGTAATTTTACCACTTCATCTTTGATCTGATCCAGGGATTCACCACTGGGCAGTCCTTTCATGACAACCTTGAACACACGTTCAGTTTTGGTGTCGTAAGTAAAAAATTTATGCTTCTTCTCAGTAAGATACTTGAGAAGACATTTAAATCCGTCCAAGGTTTCAGCCAATATACGGTATTCACCCCGACGTCCAATTTGTAGTGAAAACTTAACTTTCACGAAATTCAAAAGTTCCATGCGAAGAGCATGGAAATCGGAAGTGGTTATCACAATAGGGGGAATCTTTTCCTTTTTGGCATTAAGCCGGGAAAGTTTACTAGAATTTTTCTTGGATGATGGATCCTTCTCATCATCCGTGAGCAAATCAAATTGATTACTCAAATTAATTTCATCAGAAGGGGGGTCAAGAGTTTGCCCCTTTCTTTTGCGTTTAGGCGCCATGGCGGCAGTAAGTTTTTATCCAAATCGACTTCCAAGCAGATTACTATAAGAATCTGAAGGATCGAAGAGGAATTTTCCAAATCGATATCCAAGAAGGATTACCTCGGGTAGGGTCCAAACAAGGATCGAAGAGGAATAAGAGTTGAACAAGGTAGGAAATTTTTCTACAGGTTGAGCGCTGAAAAGTGCTGTTTAAATTTGTTGTAGCTTTAGGTAGTAGTAACACTTCCTTCAGCAAAAAGCAAATAGATCCGCACGGCAAGAGAGCACGATGCGGACTGCCCTTTCTCCTCTCCGAATCTCTGTATATCACAGCCTACTACAATTTTGACACCCGTTGTCACTAGAGACCGAGTATACCTCTGCATGTCCACGGTTGTCACGGGAAGGACGTTTTTGCTAGTGGGAATGGTGAATTAGATCTAGATTCACATTGGAAAGTGTTGCGATCTTTTAAAGCCTGGTAAGCAAATAAAAGAACCCTATCAACTCAGTAATGTCCCTTCACATTACACATTACAACCCCCTTGGGCTGGGTTCTAACCCACACAGTTCGAAAAAGTAGTGTAAATTTCTGTTTAATAATGATGCACATAAATGGAGCGTTACATATCATATAAGTTTAAATTATATATCATGTAAAGTTCTGAGACATTTCATGCAATGTAGCAAATATTGTATACAAAAGCCCATTGTTGCAAACAAAATTGTTTACAAGTTGCTCAGTTGCGTGATATGAAATACAAGTTTATGTCAATGAATGTTTACACCACTATTAAAGTTCAGAATTTTTATCTGTGCCCGATCTTCTGCTCAGTAAGCAAAAATGGTTGCTCTAAGGCCACCGTGCCTCTAACATAACAATAAGCTACGACCGACGATCATTAACTATCGGTTACAAGAAGCTATTAAATTGACAAGCCTTACATAAGATACCAAAAATAATCACTCAAAATAGCTCTACGAATAATGTACTAACAAATAATTTAGTTACTAAAATTAATCAGCAATTTCGATGGCGCCAGAATACCACATTTTTTTATTCAAATGGTCTAACTCTCACCAATAACCATTACCAATAACTCTTTTAGGTGTTGTTGTGTTAAAACAGAAAAATCTCGTTTCACTATTTTGGTATTTATTTGATATTTTACAAAATATTTCGAAAACTGACTAATAGCAAAACAAGGTTTTATACCTCAATTGCCAAAATAAGGTATCATACCTAATTAAGGTATTCATATTTTATCGGTTAGTTGTCGGTTCTTGCTCGGGAAAGGAAGAGAACATCGCAAAACTTCAGGGACTTTTTAGAATATCAGGAATGTCGCAGAAATTTTTAGAAACTTCGTAGGTTTGTGGGAGTCTGTGTGGCTGTGTGCGTAAGCACCGATTGGTAGATTTTTGGCCATTCTATTTCAAACGTCAAACAAAACAAATATTCCAGGGCTTGTTTGACCCCCATTATAGGCTTGTCCTTTTCAGCTTAGATTTTCAATCGCTAACCAGGTGTCGATCAATCGCGAATTCCACTGCAAATGGTTCACTTTTCGACTATGTCGCAGTACCCCCTGTCGAATAAACTGCTCAACCATCATCCGCAGGAGAATCTTCTTCCAGTGATGGTTGGTGGCTCTGTGGTATTAATACCCCTCGAATAGAGATGTTAGGCGTATGCTATAAAACCCGAACATAACTCGGCTTCGGGTCCGACTAACATCGCCGACGAAACCCTCGCACGACAAATAACGATGAAGGCGCGTCACGAACAATCTTCGAGCTCTTTCGTCTTAGACCCTTCACCACGTGCAGACGCTTGGGTAAGTGACTGGTTAGGTCCCAATTGGATTCCCCAGCAAATAGCAGAGTTTCACAGTGGCTTTGCCAGCAATTCCAGGTTTGTGGCATAGATCAACTATTGATCCAACGTCGTTTGAGCGACCTGGAATTTTTAGTTTCGGCTCCTTCAAAATAGGGTTGTTTGTAGTCGTCGACCAAAATAATAGTGAAATCCTTCGACCGTAGTGACCAACTGCTGCTGCTACTACTAATTTCCGATTCTCACTCAATACCGTACTCCGGTTGGTCTGTTTTTGGCCGTGCTTTTTCAACCGTCAAAACCAAGTCACTCGCTGATTTCGAGGTCAGCTATTTTTTAATCTCGTGCGCGTTCGTACACGGTAGTAAAACTTGAGGTAAATTTTCGCTGAGCTCCTGCACTTTTTGAGATCTATGAATAAACTGACCACACATTTGGGTTAATCTCAGTGGCCGTGTAGCAATGATATTGTTTTGCATGTAGCCATGATTAAATGCATAATAAAATAACTTCCGTTCCATTTGATCTTCGTCAAAAATGCCTCCCACATACAGGTGCTACAGCATTGCCAGTGACTGCCAATTGGATGAGCATATACAACTGTTGTTGATGCACCATGATCGCTTTCCATGCAACGTTCCCTCGAATGAGGATTCTAATCTATTCTAATCATAGAAGCAAACATATCGCTAGAAAGGTTCCACAACGTTGAAAGATTTATCCACCTAGTGACACGACTGCGGAAAGATCGTCACGGTTCGAGTTCGACCACGGCCAAACCGGTCAAGTTTAAACCCATTCCTATCGAGAAAGAACACCACCAACAATGTGGCATACTTTTCCAATCTTATAAAGCTTTGCTAGCTCCAGTAGAGTAGAACTAGTCCATCGCTGAAAATGTCCCGATCCGTTCCATTATTCGTGGCGCTTGTCTGCTTTCTCCCTTTGGTGAGTCACCGTCCCGATCCTGGCCTGTCCGATTGTGATCATTAAAACTGTGTTTTATTACTCCCCGCAGGCAGTGTCCGTTCCCGCAAGCGTTGCAGGAGTGCTACTTCGGGCGGCCACACCCGGCGAATACAGTCCGCAACCATGCAGTGCCAGCAAGTTGACCAGCTGTCAATCGTGTGACACCCTTTGGCTCTGCCTGGGTGGATTATTCAGCATGTTGAACCTCACCCGGAAGTGTCCCTCGTCGACGCCGTACTGCAATCAGAACGGTGGCGGAACGGCAACCTGCAAGGCGACTCCCGATTATCAGTGCCTGTCGTCGGTTTCTTCGGACGTTGGGTTTGCGTGCACGGGGACAGGGTTCTTTCCGGATCTGGATTCGTGCCAAAAGTATTACTATTGTGAAAGTGAAGGTGGATTGCCACAGCAGTATCAGTGTCCAAGTGGGCTTCGGTATAACAGCAAGAGTAAAACGTGCCAGAGGTTTTTCCTAGGACGATGCCAAACGGTGAAGTGTGATGTCAGTAGTCAAAATGTGTTTGCACCGTATCCGCTGGATGATTCGTACTATGTGTACTGTCAGTATGATTATAGTTCGGGGATTCCTACGGTGAAGAAGACGTACGTTTTGTCGTGTGGCACGGGATCCAGGTTCAATGCTCAGACTCAGCTGTGCGAGTTCCAGTGCAGGAGAGTTGGAGTGTACGTAAATACTGCCAATCCGAGTCAGTACTTCTCCTGTTCCCGAGTGGGTTTCGGCTGGCAGGCGAAGGTGTTGACGTGCAAGAAGGGGTACATATTTGACGAAGCATTGAAGCGCTGCAACCGGGATCCGGATGCGGTGACGAGTACTGTAGCACCAACAACGGAGCGTTCAACAACTGAAATGAGTACCACTGAAATTCATTCTTCTACAAAATTGAGTACCGCAGAAATTCCTTTAACAACTAAAATGAGCACAACCGAAATGTTGTCAACAACCAAAGTGAGCACAACAGAAGTTACTCCAACTACAGAAATGAGTACGAAAGGAAGACCTTCTACAACTGAAGTGTACACTCCAGAAACTACTCCGGCAACCGAAATAACTCGCAACACTGAAACCAGTACCACAGAAATTCCACCGAAAACAGAGCTGAGCACTTCAGAAGTAACTCCGAAAGCTGAAGTGAGTACCACAGAAATTCCACCGAAAACAGAGCTGAGCACTCAAGAAATAACTCCAACAACTCAGGTGAGCACCACAGAAATTCCATCAACAACTGAGTTGAGTACTTCAGAAATATCTTCGACAACCGATGTGACCACCTCAGATGTTCCTCTAACAACTGAAATGAGTACCACAGCAATTCCATCAACAACTGAATTGAGTACTCCAGAAATATCTCCGACAACCGAAATGAGTACCACAGATATTACTGCAACTACTGAAATGAGTACCACAGATATTTCATCGACAACAGATCTGAGCACTCCAGAAATAACTCCGACAACTGAATTGAGTACCAAAGAAATTCCATCGACAGCTGAGTTGAGTACTCCAGAAATATCTTCGACAACCGATGTGACCAGCCCAGATGTTCCTCCAACAACTGAAATGAGTACCACAGCAATTTCATCAACAACTGAATTGAGTACTCCAGAAATTTCTCCGACAACCGAAATGAGTACCACAGATATTACTGCAACTACTGAAATCAGTACCACAGATATTTCATCGACAACAGATCTGAGCACTCCAGAAATAACTCCGACAACTGAAGTGAGTACCACAGAAATCCCATCGACAACTGAGCTGAGTACTCCAGAAATAACTTCGACAACCTATATGAGCACCACAGATATTACTCCAACTTCTGAGATGAGTACCACAGAAATTCCATCGACAACTGAATTGAGTACCCCAGAAATTTCCCCGACAACCGAAATGAGTACCACAGATATTACTCCAACTACTGAAATGAGTACCACAGATGTTTCATCGACAACAGATCTGAGCACTCCCGAAATAACTCCAACAACCGAAATGAGTATCACAGATATTACTCCATCTACTGAAATGAGTACCACAGAGATTCCATCGACAACCGATGTGAGCACCACAGAAATTCCATCAACAACTGAGTTGAGTACTCCAGAAGTAACTTCGACAACCGATGTGACCACCCCAGATGTTCCTCCAACAACTGAAATGAGTACCACAGAAATTCCATCAACAACTGAGTTGAGTACTCCAGAAATATCTTCAACAACCGAAATGAGTACCACAGATATTACTGCAACTACTGAAATGAGTACCATAGATATTTCATCGCCAACAGATCTGAGCACTCCAGAAATAACTCCGACAACTGAAGTGAGTACCTCTGAAATTCCATCGACAACTGAATTGAGTACCCCAGAAATTTCTCCGACAACCGAAATGAGTACCACAGATATTACTCCAACTACTGAAATGAGTACCACAGATATTTCATCGACAACAGATCTGAGCACTCCAGAAATAACTCCAACAACCGAAATGAGTATCACAGATATAACTCCATCTACTGAAATGAGTACCACAGAGATTCCATCGACAACTGATGTGAGCACCACAGAAATTCCATCAACAACTGAGTTGAGTACTCCAGAAATATCTTCGACAACCGATGTGACCACCCCAGATGTTCCTCCAACAACTGAAATGAGTACCACAGCAATTCCATCAACAACTGAATTGAGTACTCCAGAAATTTCTCCGACAACCGAAATGAGTACCACAGATATTCCTGCAACTACTGAAATGAGTACCACATATATTTCATCGACAACAGATCTGAGCACTCCAGACATAACTCCGACAACTGAAGTGAATACCACAGCAATTCCATCGACAACTGAGTTGAGTACTCCAGAAATAACTTCGACAACCGATGTGACCACCCCAGATGTTCCTCCAACAACTGAAATGAGTACCACAGCAATTCCATCAACAACTGAATTGAGTACTCCAAAAATTTCTCCGACAACCGAAATGAGTACCACAAATATTACTGCAACTACTGAAATGAGTACCACAGATATTTCATCGACAACAGATCTGAGCACTCCAGAAATAACTCTGACAACTGAGGTGAGAACTACGGAAATTCCATCCACAACTGAGTTGAGTACTCCAGAAATATCTTCGACATCCGAATTGAGCACCACAGAAGTTACTCCAACTACTGAAATGAGTACCTCAGAAATACCTTCCACTACTGCAGTAAACACACCAGAAATTACTCCGACAACTGAAGTGAGCACCACAGAAACTACTCCAACTACTGAAGTAAGTACTACAGAAATTTCTTCGACACAGATCTGCGCTGTTCGACTCTTTAAAATGAATCAAAATTATAGAAACAAAAACTTTTTGTTTATAGCGTGACCCCCGGTAATCTGACCATTTTTAATCTGATCACTATTTAATTTGAACCCCGTCAGATGCTAAAAGCACAAACGAAGGGACAGATGACTAACTGGCTCGCTGTAATAGAATTTTCTTAGAAGCTTGTGCCATCATCCACCAGATGGGATAGTATTTTTGTTTTGGTTTTGCACAAAGCTAATTTTGTGTACAATGATTCTTTAACAGTGTGCAAAGAGTGTATCATTTTGTCATTTTTTTTTTATGCATTCCAGTTTTGAGTAGAGTGAAAGAGATAGAACACAAACATTCTACACGGTAAGAAAAAAGTACCCAAAATTAAGTTACTTTCACTCATTACGTGGCTTCAGTGGGGCTAGGTAAAATTAAGTTAAACAAGAAAACTCAATTTTGAGTAATTCTGATGAAGAATCCATTGAGTAAAAATTACCTTACGATCAATCGAATGGAATAGGTGATAAACACCCAACGTACCAGCATGTAACCGGTTTTCGTTGCAACATTTTTTGTCACTACCCCCTACGGATACCATACACAAACGATATCATAGATGGTACGACCATACCGCATAGAGTAGGGATGATATCCTGAATTGGTGGTTAGGCGTTTCTTATGTTTATGCGGGATAAGTACCAAACACTAACAAAGACTAATGCGAGGACTAATTGAGCAGGAATGGAGGCAATGGATCACAAACAAATGACAGCGTCGATGGCAGTGCAGGTTGCTATGATTGTCATCCAAAGTTAAGTTAAAAGTACCCAACGGTGAAAACATAACGGTTGAGTTTTATTAACTGAAAATTGAGTTCTTTTTTACTTTGAATCGCAGCGTGTTTTAGTCTAACGGAATGTATCGATAAATATTTCAGGATATTCTTCGTAAATTACTTTACCCAATACAATATGTTAACATTTTAAACAAATACGGAAAGTACTAATTCAAACAATAATGACAAATACTACATTTTGAGCTAAACGATGATTAACAGAAAATTAACTTAAATTTGAGTTCATATATTATTACTATATAATAGATGAGTAAATTTAACCCATCGCCGTTTTTCTGACTCTGGATTGAAAATGCTAGTTCAACCCAGTAGTAGTGTTGCCATGTGGTACAATCCAGTAGTAGTGGTGTTGCCATGTGGTACACTGAAAAATTGCAATAGCAATTTAGTCACCAAAGTTTTCGAGCCGCTCCGTCTGTCACTTCGTTTGTGCTAATAAGGTAGAAGTTCAAATTTAAAATGAACCCAGTTGATATGAATGAAGTTTCGTTCCGATTAGCGGGATTTATGGAATTTTTTTTTCCGTAGAAAAGGTTTTCTAAAAGGTTTCAAAAATGTTAAAATTTCACCATACATTGTTCAGCTTGATATCAATTGAAAACGACGATTTGAAGTTATGCTTTCTCACGTCACCTTCCAAAATTGATCGATTCTCTCTTTCGTTAATAGTTTGGCTCATATTTTGGCTAATTTTTCTACACAGTCTGGTAAATGAAAGTATTATTAATCATATTGGACGATAAGAACAGCTAGCCATTTTTTTAGCCGAGTTATTGACGAAAGAAAGAGTCTTTGAAGGGAATCGGACTATCTTAAAAGTGACGCAAGATCAGATCGATTCGTCATTTGACAAAATAGTGACAAATCGACAGTGAGCATGGATAAAGACCTAAACGCTATTATCGATTCTCGTCGTCAATTTTCTCTTGTGTTAAACATCCACTTGGATTAACGTTTCTCGGTGCATTTACTGTTACTTTTGATAGCCAATACAACCTGTTACAAGTTCCAAAAAAAAAATCTTAGCTGTAGCAATGTAAAGAGAAAATCGATGAAGAGAATGGATCATCGCGTTTACGTCCTTATGCACGCTCACTGTCGATTTAACCCAAACGAGCGTGCTAATTCATAAGGCACACAGTGCGCTATTCAGCAAGCAACATAATTCAAAGTCAATACATTCAGTCTGTGAGTGATTAGATTGCCGTACTGTTTCCATCCACCAGTGAAAGAATCTAGTCTGTCCTAATCATATCGGTCAATAGCACCTCCAACGCGTGGGATCACTTTCCCTTGCGAATTCGACCCACTTTCAGCAACAATATAAAAGATTAGCAATTGCCAACTTTGGGTTTAGTTTGTCAATCAACATGTCCCGAATAGTGCTGCTGTCAATTGCATTGCCTTTTCTGTGTTGCTTGGTGAGTTGCTGAAGTTTTTAACCTTCTAATCATAAATAATTGCTTTCCCTTTAGCTTCCAGCGGTCCAGGCTGATGAGGCGGAGTTCGTCCAAGGAATACTGCGTGCAGCCGATACGCCTGTGTACATTGCAAAGCCATGCGATGGGACAATACTTACTACATGCCAGTCCTGTGACACGATCCAAATTTGTCTTGGTGGCTCGTTTAACAACTTGAACCTCAACCGGGTGTGTCCATCGTCAACTCCGTACTGCGTTCAGGGTGCTTCCCAAACCGGTGCCGCTTGTCAGTCATCTCCGGACAGTCAGTGTGGTGTGTCATCGACAAACGGATTCACCTGCACTGGCGTTGGCTTCTTCCCGGATCCAACTTCTTGCCAGTCGTATCACTACTGTGAACAGGAAGGTCAGGTAGGGGACACCTACGATTGCCCCGTGGGATACCAATACAACAGCCGTAGTCAGCAATGTACTCGATTCGGTTTAAGACGCTGCCAAACAATCACATGTGACCCCACCAGCCAAAAGGTGTTCATTCCGTACCCGATGGATGATTCGTACTATGTTTACTGTCAGTATGATTATAGTACTGCAGTTCCCACGTTCCAGAAGGCCTTCATGCTATCCTGTGGAAAAGGATCCACGTTTAATGCCCAAAAAGAAGTGTGCACATTCCAATGCAGAAGAGTTGGATTCTTCGTAAATACGGCAAACCCCAATCAGTACTTTTCGTGCTACCGTCAAGGATTTCGATGGATGGTATCGGTGAATACCTGTTCCAATCCGAATTACATGTTTGATGAAAAGCTAATGAGGTGCATAAATAATCCGAATGCGGTTACAACTACCATGAGCCCAACGACGGTGCTTCCTGACACGACAACGGTAGCTGGTGAAACGACAACTGTAGCTGGTGAAACGACAACTGTAGCTGGTGAAACGACAACTGTAGCTGGTGAAACGACAACTGTAGCTGGTGAAACGACAACTGTAGCTGGTGAAACGACAACTGTAGCTGGTGCAACAACGACTTTGACTCCGGACACGACAACTGTAGCTGGTGCAACGACAACTTTGGCTCCGGACACGACAACTGTAGCTGGTGCAACAACGACTTTGGCTCCGGACACGACAACTGTAGCTGGTGCAACAACAACTGTAGCTGGTGCAACGACAACTGTAGCTGGTGCAACGACAACTGTAGCTGGTGAAACGACAACTGTAGCTTGTGCAACGACAACTATAGCCGGTACAACGACAACTGTAGCTGGTGAAACGACAACTGTAGCCGGTGCATCGACAACTGTAGCTGGTGAAACGACTACTGTAGCTGGTGAAACGACAACTGTAGCTGGTGAAACGACAAGTGTAGCTGGTGAAACGACCACTGTATCTGGTGAAACGACAACTGTAGCTGGTGCAACGACAACTGAAACTGGTGAAACGACAACTGTAGCTGGTGCAACGACAACTATAGCTGGTGAAACGACAACTGTAGCTGGTGCAACGACAACTGTAGCTGGTGAAACAACAACTGTAGCTGGTGCAACGACAACTGTAGCTGGTGCAACGACAACTGTAGCTGGTGAAACGACAACTGTAGTTGGTGCAACGACAACTATAGCTGGTGAAACGACAACTGTAGCTGGTGCATCGACAACTGTAGCTGGTGAAACGACAACTGTAGCCGGTGCATCGACAACTGTAGCTGGAGAAACGACAACTTTGGGAATTGCAAGGTTGGCTGATTCGTCAGTAGTTGTGAAAACGAACTGTTTGAAATTTCTCAGAGATCTGATGCGCAGAAACAACATTCTGGACGACTGAATTAGGAGAATAAACTTGATTATTTATTTATTTATTTTTAACTAAATGAGAGAATACAACTTTGAAAACTGGAACAATGTGCAGTACTTCGTTTATCCGGAAATACCGAAAAGCCACCCTGGATGCCAGTCTGCAATGACAAGGTATAATATCACTGTGAGGTTCCGTCAAATGTCCCCATCGTTAGGTCCAGGCGATTGCCCGGCAAATGGCAGGAGGATCACTGAGCTTTACCTGATCAACGGCGTGCAGACGAGAGAGGACGATGCCCTTTGCTGACTGCTCACGACCAGGCATCAACATTATCCCTATCAATTATCATTTTCACACCTATCTTTATCACCTATCACTATCCCTATCACAACTGCTTCTATCAATGATACTATCAGTGATGGAAAAAAAGTTATAGAGGGTATTATCCCTATCATTGATAGGAGTTAGGAGTGACAGTGATATTATCAGCAGAGAACCTATCAATGATGGAGATTTTATTATCTATCCCTATCTTTTGAGAGAACGGTGGTGATATTATTATTTTCAATTAAATGGCGTATATAATCTCCATCACATTTTTGGAGACCTGTTTCATCTCTATCATTTTATATTATCATACATACCGAAAAACTTGGCATAGTGGGAAAAATGGTTTGTATCAGAAAAGGATCTGCCAAACTTGTTCAACAAACTATACAAAACATATGGATGTTTACAGAATGGTGGTGGCATTTAGAGATCGGTAATCGATGCCCAAAGCCATTTTGAAATCAAAGATGGCGGCTGCAAATTTCAGAAAAAGTACCAAATGCCTTTCAATATTGGTATTTCCAGAATCAGGAGGCGTCTAAGACCCGTAAATCTATTTCCGACGTCATTTTTAAATCCAAGATGGCGGCTACCAATTTCAGAAAAAGTTGAAAAACTACCTAATACCCTTCAATATGGATATTTCCTGAATCAGGATGACGTCTAAGACCCATAAATCTATTTCCGACGCCATTTTGAAATCCAATATGGCGGCTTCCAGTTTGAGAAAAAGTGGGAAATACTGTCAAATACCCTTCAATATGTATATTTTCGGAATCGGGATGTCCTCTAGACCAGGGATCTACATTTTCGAAGCTCTAAAATGAACTCGAGTTTTGTTTCTCTCATACAAACGTGTTCAACACTTCATTTCTTTAACGCCTAGCTAGACTATCAGCAAGAAATGATAATTGCTTGCTCATCGCTTTCAATGTAAGTAACGTCGATTTTCTAGTTAAATGAAACCTCATTATGGCTTTCAATTACCTTTCACGAACACTCCATCACCGCTCTTTCAATTTGTTTAAAATGCGTTATGTCCCGTTTTCGTTAATTTTTTTTAGATAAACATGTGGATGGAAGATAAATTAAACATATTACGTGTAATATTCAAGCGTTTTCACGTGAGAAATGCTTCAAATGTGTAATTTCATTTTCCGTCATATACGTCATGAAACCTCTGTTGATGTGTTTCATGAAAGAGAAAACTATCAAAGTCGAGCGCTTTTTCGCTCATCCGTTTCACCGAAGCTTGAAAGGAAGACCAATGGAGCGACGGGAGAAAGAGAGACAAGCGATTGAACATTTGTTTGTGCACGCCGACTGAGGTTCTAGAATGCTGCGAAGCTGTTCGACTTTAACAGAAAAAGAAAGCCAACAGTCTCTTCGTTGCATCGATTCGGTCGATTGAAGCTGATATTGTGACGCTCTGCTCTAGACACCAAAAATCTATGTACAGCACCATCTTGAAATCAAAGATGCCGGCTGCCAATTTCAGAAAAAGTTGGAAATACTGTCAAATACCCATGAATGTGGGTATTTTGGGATTCGCGGTGATAACTACGGAATTTCTGTCTGATGCCATATTGAATTCCGAGATGGCAGCTTCTGGTTACATATAAACTGGATAGTAATGTTAAATACCCCCATAATATGGGTATTTTTTGAATTGAGACGATATGTAAAGGCTCAAAATCGATATCCAACGCAATTTTGGAATCTAAGTTGGCAGTCCTGATTTTAAAAACCTGTCAAATACTTTACAATAGACGGAAAATTGATGGCTGGCACCATTTCGGCATTTCAATTTTTGGCACGTCGTCATTGTTCCGAAAATATTCATATTGTAAAGTATTTGGCAGTATTTCTCACTTTTTCTAATATCGGCAACCACCATTTTTTATTTCAAGATGCCGCTGGACATCGATTTTTGGTCTCTAGACGTCATCCTGATTCCGAAAATAATTTTCTGAACTTGGAAGCCGCCATCTTGGATTTCAAGATGGCGCTGGATATCGATTTTTGGTGTCTAGAGGTCATCCCGATTCCGAAAATATCCATATTGAAGGGTATTTGGCAGTATTTCCCACATTTTCAGAACTTGGAAGCCGCCATCTTGAATTTCAAGATGGCGCTGGATATCGATTTTCGGTCTCTAGACATCATCCTGATTCCGAAAATATCCATATTGAAGGGTATTTGGCAGTATTTCCCACATTTTCAGAACTTGGAAGCCGCCATCTTGGATTTCAAGATGGCGCTGGATATCGATTTTTTGTGTGTAGAGGTCATCCCGATTCCAAAAATACCCATATTGAAGGGTATTCAACAATATTTCTCAATTACAATGTAACCGGAAGCCGCCATCTTGGATTTAAAAATGATGGCGAACATTGTGTCCTGTATTTACTTGTCATCTTCGTTCTTAAAATAAGCATACTGTAAGGACAGAAATCAATTTCCGGCATCTACACTTCGTTCCCGGTCCGAAATATAAATATTGATTCAGATTGGAATGTTTTTCATGTTGACCATTTGGAGGTGAATTGTCCCTCTATCATGTGATAGTTCAACTATCAAATGAACCAATTATCATGATAGCAATGGAAAATGATCTTGTTTCTATCTCTCCTATCCCATCATTGATTCTATCTATCATTTTTTCTATCATGATAGTATCCGAGATGGGATAGAGGTTCTATCATGATAGACTGAGAGAGAATCTATCAGATAGAGGCCTATCACAGTGATAGGCCTCTATCTGATAGATGATATTATCACCATTTATCAGATAACTTGGATGGCTGCTCATGACAGCCGAACGCAGTGTTGGCAAACGCTCTACTTATTTTGGCTGCGTCAAGGTCAATTGACAGTTAGCCGAGGGGTATGCTGTAGCGCGTATTCGACGGGGCGTATGGGGTATCCCACAATCCCAACTTGCTTGCCTAATAAACACCTATTCGTAATATTGGTGATTGGTTGTTAAATGCAAAATTGCTTTCGCATTATGTCTTAATATAAATATTAAAGTAAATATAAACTACAAGCTAAGAATATAAAATTACATTGCACATTCTACAAGTTAAAATTAGAGTTAAGTAGAAAATTAAAATCATCGAACAAGCATTTAACGAACAATTTAAAAGTCTCGTAGTTGGTAGTACCGCCAACTGTGGCGCGTATAGTCAATTCCCTTGCGTTTGACGTTTACATACTGCTGCCATCTGTTCAGCGTACTACCCACCACAGTCTACTCAACAGATGGCGGTAATGTTTCAGCGACGATGTTTTACAGTGAGAAATATTCAATGTGTTATGTCTGTTTGTCTGTGGTAAAAGTATACACAACTGAAACTCAAATAGCCTCCTTGGGGTAAACGAGGGCTGTCGTGAATGAGAGTTCACGTTCGCTAGATATTGATCTTTTCCACTTCGTCAGAATCCGCTTCCGGATTCGTCAGAATCCGCTTCGGGATTGGTCAGAATCCGCTTCCGGATTCGTCAGAATCCGCTTCCGGATTCGTCAGAATCCTCTTCCGGATTCGTCAGAAACCGCTTCCGGATTCGTCAGAATCCGCTTCCGGATTCGTCAGAATCCGCTTCCGGATTCGTTAGAATCCGCTTCCGGATTCGTTAGAATTCGTCAGATTCGTCAGCTTTTGGATTCGTAAGAATCCAGCTTCCGGATTCGTCAGAATCCACTTCCGGATTCGTCAGAATCCACTTCCGAATTCGTCAGAATCCGCTTCCACATTCGTTAGAATCCACTTCCAGATTCATCACAATCCTCTTCCAGATTTGTCAGAATCCGCTCCCAGATTAGTTAGAATCCGCTTACGGAGTCGTTAGAATCCGCTACCGGACTCGTTAGAATCCGCTTCCAGATTCGTTAGAATCCGCTTCCGAATTCGTCAGAATCCGCTTCCGAATTCGTCAGAATCCGCTTCCGCATTCGTTAGAATCCACTTCCAGATTCATCACAATCCTCTTCCAGATTTGTCAGAATCCGCTCCCAGATTAGTTAGAATCCGCTTACGGAGTCGTTATAATCCGCTACCGGATTCGTCAGAAACCGCCTCCGGATTCGTCAGAATCCAGCTTCCGGATTCGTCAGAATCCGCTTCCGGATTCGTCAGAATCCGCTTCCGAATTCGTCAGAATCCACTTCCGAATTCGTCAGAATCTGCTTCCGCATTCGTTAGAATCCACTTCCAGATTCATCACAATCCTCTTCCAGATTTGTCAGAATCCGCTCCCAGTTAGAATTCGCTTCCGGAGTCGTTAGAATCCGCTTCCGGATTCGTTAGAATCCGCTTCCGGATTCGTTAGAATCCGCTACCGGACTCGTTAGAATCCGCTTCCGAATTCGTTAGAATCCGCTTCCGAATTCGTCAGAATCCGCTTCCGGATTCGTCAGAATCCGCTTCCGGATTCGTCAGAAACCGCTTCCGGATTCGTCAGAATCCGCTTCCGGATTCGTCAGAATCCGCTTCCGGATTCGTCAGAATCCGCTTCCGGATTCGTCAGAATCCGCTTCCGGATTCGTTAGAATTCGTCAGATTCGTCAGCTTTTGGATTCGCCAGAATCCAGCTTCCGGATTCGTCAGAATCCGCTTCCGGATTCGTCAAAATCCGCTTCCGGATTCGTCAGAATCCACTTCCGAATTCGTCAGAATCCGCTTCCGCATTCGTTAGAATCCACTTCCAGATTCATCACAATCCTCTTCCAGATTTGTCAGAATCCGCTCCCAGATTAGTGAGAATCCGCTTCTGGCTTCGTCAGAATCCACTTCCGGAGTCGTTAGAATCCGCTTCCGGATTCATCAGAATTCTTCAAAGGTTTTGTCAGGCTCCTTCCTAGGATTAATCAGAATCCTTTTCGGAATTCGTCAGAAAGAATTCTCGAGATTCGTCAGAGTTCTGCTTGGGTTTCACAAGAATTCACGAAATTTGTCAGAATTATGCTTGGAATTCACTAGAATTCGATATGGTATGCACTCGAATTTTTTCTCAGATCTTGTCATAATTATCCCCGGGAATCGGCAAAATCCTCAAATTTAACAGCCATCATTATTTTAGCAGTTAGCTAAAAAACCTTCGACTAACCTGAATGTCTTGTCTCGTTGGTGGCTGCCGTCGTATACCGCTTTGCAATCAGCATCGATCCCATGTACACCAGAGTTCGCCATTGCGTGTATATCTTATGATTGGCCGGTTCCAGCAGCGTCCTCCCAATCTCCTGATGGGAAGTCATTCCCATCGCCTTAAATATGACATCAAATTGTGCTTCAGATAGTAATTTCCATGGAAACCACCTCCTATATCAGAATCACCTTCTCCGTTCCCAAAATGACGGATTAGCCCGGATTGATTGATTATTCGTAAGTCTACGAAACCCATATTATCCCGTCAGCACGCTAAAAAACTCTCTAGCAAAAGTTTGGTCGTCTACCAAAATCTAAGATTAAAATACACTGCTCTGTTCGATGGGAGCAGTTGTTTTTCTGGTTTCCGGTGAAGTCATCCATACTTTCACTAGATAGCTTTAGTTGCTACCTGGGATACAAATTTGATGACTCGGGAGTGCGTTCACGGTTTTGTTTCTATTATGCAAGCCCACTTAGCACCTCGCGATGGGAGCCGTTGGGATGTGGAAATAGGAATGAAACCTCGTTTAGCGCCCGCGGTGGAGATTCTCTAGCTGATTCACAATCAAAGTAGTCCAATACAGAGCTGGAAAACGGGCCTAACAGCTTTTGAAACAATGACTTCTCTCCATGATTTCTGGGGATTCAGAGGAATTCATTGTTTACAAAAGCTGTAAGGCCCTTTTTTCAGCTCTGTATTTGAGGAACGCTCAACTAGTAAATCGAATCCGAATAAGGATTTGTTAGCCTGCCCGTGTTTTTTTTAATTAGAGGAGCGCAACACCAGCGAAGAATGAAAAAACCTCATTAACTTCTTAGTGAAAGATTAGTTTCTAGAATAGAAACTAAATAATAAAGTACTTTTTCGCTTGCTCGTCGCTGCGCTTTTCTAACTAAAATAACACGGAATTATTACCCTTCCTGAGTAACTATGCATCCATTTACAGCATTTTACGTATTGAGCGATAATCAAAATTTTAAGTAAGCATTTCCCGAAAAGAAATACAAAATATTTACCTTTTTTCCAGTGTTTTATATCAACGAATTTTCACAAAATATTCAAACAATAGAGTAATCTTTCACCAGCATCTTTCGTTTCACTATTCTTCAAAACAAATACCTAAACAGACATGTCCACTTATCCCAGAAAATGTCGTCTTCGAACACACAATCCTGGAACTGTTGGCTGTTCTGTTGGGGCTGTCGGGGGCTCCTCGGTGGTCGTATTCGTTCCACCTCCTCCCGAAACGATCACACATCGGCGTTCGTCTTCGTCGAAAATCTGATCCGCTCGGCATGCGTTCGTTGTGTACTGCAGCCTACCGCCAGTCCTGTAGCACTGGTAGTACTGCCGTGGATTTGCCGTGTTCACAAACAGCCCTATTCGGGGGCATCTAAACTCACAAGTAGCCGAGTTTTCGTTGAACGTCGATCCCTTACCACAGGCAAACACGTGAGCTCCTACGAAGACAGCCGTCTTGTCCGTGTTGTCGTACTGGCAGAAAACATAGTACGAGCTGTCTCCTGGGAAGGAGCTGAAAACCTTCTTGTTGTTGGGATCACATACCACCCTGTTACAGGGAAAGAGCCACCGTTGGCAGTAGTTGGTCCTGGTGTTGTACTTGTATCCCTCCGGGCAGTCGTAGTTATCCGATTCGGCACCTTCCTTTTCACAGTAGTGATACACTTGACACGAGTTGGCATCCGGGTAGAAACCGGAACCGGTGCAGCGGAAACTATTCTGAACGGACGTCACTGAGCATCCCGCGTCCGGTTGGGCACGACAATCCGCACCGATGGCACTTCCCACCGAACTGCAGTAAGGAGTAGCATCCGGGCAGCGTCGTGTGGGATTAAGGTCGTTGCCAGAATTGCTGAGGCACACCTTGATGGTGTTGCACGACTCGCACACAGTTAGCTTGCGGCCATCACACTGCTCCGGAACAAAGTCTCCGGTGGATAGCCGAAGGTTTCCCGGTACGAACATTCGTAGTTTGCCGTGGGAATCTGGAATCTAAGAACGGGCTGTAGGATGAGTTTGCCAATCAAATATAAGTAGTCATGGCTTACCCCTAGAAGGATGATTGCAAACACGATTAGCAAAGGTATTGGATGCTTCATGGTTGGCAGAGTACTGGTCCTAGAAAGTTTATGGGTTGATTTTTATACCATCGTACAATTGGAACAAGATAGCTCGGAACTTGTCCATTCTGTCTAGTACACGCATCGTATCAGAACGGGTGTCAGATATTCCTGTTCAAGCGTTTAGGAATTCTAATTATCATTTCTAACGGCAAGCGAAGTAGTGCGAAAAATCACAGCTCATTAATTACTACGTCCGTGGGACTGAGTGGTGCGGACTTCAATTTTTGAGTTATTTTTCTTGTAAAATCTCATGTTCGCCATTTTATGAGGTCCAGAATTGAACCACCCAAGTAGCAATTTTGTTTTATTAGGGTTCTGTTCCATGATTTGGACTTGTAGAATGCTATAACACCTCTATAAAGCTTGCAATGTTACTTGGGCAATATTTTAAATCAATATCTAGAAAAATGCACGAGAATTTCACTACACAGCTTAACGTAGTCTACGTCAACCATGCGGTCGTGTCTTGTGCACAACCACACCAATTTTATTTTAAACAATTTCCACCTCGCCTACACCAGTTTTGGATGCTCCTGGAGAAGTGATATTGAGAGTCTAACATTGATCTGTGACCAAAATCTAACAAATCAAATATTAATACTTTTTTTATAATTTTAAAAGAAAAGCACGAGTCGCCGGTGGGTAGATGAATAAGGGTTTTGTTTTGCACAGAATCATGAGAAAATATGCATTAAATTAATGTTTCGGTACGTTTCGGGTCAATGGTCTCAAGAGATGTGCAAAGCGAAATGCCTTTTTTTTGTTATTACCATATTCATGATGTTTTTCTTTATGTCTACAATTATAAATTCATAGTAATAATAACAAGCCAAAGCTGATGCCTTGACCCAGAGCCGAATAATGCTTCGACACCTTTTAAATTAAAGAAATATCGTTAGAAGTATACAGTACTGGACAAAATATATCATACGCTCAATCCATAAAAGTACATTACATCATTGTAACGGAATGTCTTAATGGTTTCAGCAACGGGAACTTGTGGTTCGATATGATGATAGTTTCAGAGTCGGGAATCAAGAGCGAGACGTACGAGCAGCGTTGCCAGTATTCCAGATTTATCTGGATTTTCCAGATTTTTAGTCGTCTTGCCAGATAGACAGACAGACCACGTATATTTCCAGATTTTTTTAATATGGTCCAGATTTTCCCAGATTTTTAATTTGCTCTTTTCTCTAATAATAAAAAATAAAAAGCCAAATTTGCTACTTTAATTTTTAACGGTCATCAACATTGGACATTATTGGAATTTTAAGGTAATTCTGAAAATAGTTCACAGTTAAGTGTGAGGCGAATTCCTTGTGAAATCAAAGGTGAATTTCAAGCTACTTCTGAGTAGAATTACATCCATCTTTGTGGGCTTCGGGGTCGTGCGGCGTCACCCATCATTTAGGCGTATTGTGAGTGCCACGAAGTGAGGGTTCGATTCACGCTCCAGCCGGGGCAAATTATGGCAACCTCAAAATTTGCCTACTGTTCTAATGGTAATGGGTGTGGTGTGTTTTCCGTTGTTTAATGTTAAATATTCAGTCTGTGCAACCTCTGGTTGAAGACGGTGTCAATTGTCTTGTCAACTCTGATGACAATTGCATGGAGATTTTGTCAATAAAGGAAATTTCAATCCGGAAAATAAATCATAGAAAATTCTTATCATGAAACTTAAGGAGTATGCTGATACGAATCGCGAGAATAATTTCAATTGAATCCTGTCCAATGTTTCTATGGAGATTAATTTTATAACAATTTAAGTGCAATTTCTGGGAGACTTTCAAAACCATTTTGGCAAAGTACTTGAGTACTTGGGTAATACTGAAAAGGATTTCAAACCAATTCTAACCTTACCTACAAAGCAGTTTAAAAGGAATTATCGGATAAGTCTGAGACGAGTGTGACGGTCATTCTGAAGAGTGTACCAAGGAAATTGTTAAGAATATTTTAGAATTTCATAGAGAAAAAAGACACAAAATTGAGCCAATTCTTGCGAATTATTACCAATTTGAGGGAGTTGTGGGATTGAAGAGTGATTTATAAGAGATTTCAAGAGGTAATGATAAGAACTCTTAGAATGTTACTGGAAAAGTTTAGATATTTTCAAGATTATTTTAGGGGAATATAGAAAAGAAATATGATGGAATTCTAGGATGATTCAAATTGAACAAAAAAAAAGGCCAAGATATCCTGTAATGAGTTCCAAGTAAATTCAGACTACCAAAACATTTCATGGTCTGGGACGCAGGAAAAATATAAATTCCGGAATTTAGAATCATTGCAAGATCCTGAGACTTCAAAAATGAAACTATCAGACTTTCATTTTAGTAATGTAATAAAATTATTCTTTGGCATAATGGTCATGCAAATAGTGGAGTTACCCGTAGTTTAGGTAAACTGTGTGTGAGTTCCACGATGTTAGGTTTTGATTCCCACTTCAGCCCGGTGAATTTAGCTTCAACATAAAATTGCCTACTGGTTTGTTGGGTGTTGTGGGCTGTATGCTGTCCAGAATTAAACTGTAAATCTGATCAAGCTCAGAGTAATATTAGAATTATTTAGAAATAATGAAATCTTTAAATTCTGGTACTGCATCAAATAGTAAGGACTACCCGACCAGAACGGTATAACAAAATTATATCATGATTATATCAACTTCTGTTATACATAATAACCGTTGATTTAATCTTGTTTTAAGAGCTCTGTGGTGAAATGAGGAATAAAAAATCATCATGGTATGTGATATAAAATTGTTACACAATTTGTTAGAATAAAATTTAAAACAACATTTTTGCTAAGTTTGTTAGCATTAGTAGCACGAAAAATGAATCGGTTTGTTTTATTTTAATTTTTGTTTTGTTTTAGTCCCGAGCCGGTAGTAGAATTTAATTTTTTTAGGGCTACGGAAAAGTTTTTCACATGGAATTTGGCTAATAGGGTTAATGTCCCTAATGTCAGCCTAAGTTTCCCTAATATTGGGCCCATAAATAAATTTCGAAGACAAGCATTTTTTTTTTGATAATCATAAACTAAAAATCAACCATATTGTCATTGTTCTACGAAAAATTTAAGAACGATCCATAGATCCATAGGCAAAAGCTAGTGCTTTTTCTCCTTTTTTACAGCATTCTCTTCTGATTGGGATGCTAAAATATAATAAATTATTACAGTCAACTCTCCCTTACTCGATCTCTCCTTAACTTGATTTTCCCTAACTCGGAAATCCAGGGGCCTCATTTCGCAAGTCGAATCAAACTACCTATCCCAAAGCGACTAGGCTACTATATATATTGATTCCGTAATACCTGAAAATGTTACGTTGGTGATTAAGAATGCACAACTAGCATTACAAAATTGAAATTGTCACTGCAAGACGCTTCTGATCAAAAGGCTCACCTAGATTTTAACTATCTAGGAGCGATTGCGCAATAATAGTGTAAACCAATGATATATTCGCTCATGAACGGAATCCAAAAACATAAATTATCAGTTCAGTTGGGTTCTTTGAATTTTGGCGTGCACCTTTTCAAATAAATATTTTGCAATTTGTGAAAGACAATATGTTTTTGATGATAAACAAATTAAAATGATCAATGCAACACTAACCGTCGAACGTTAGCAATCAAAACTAACCTAGAATATATCTTTAATTTGCAATGGTGTGGGAGACAGATCTCAACGCATACCCAAACAAAATGTGCAACTAACACTGTATTAGAATTCAAATAGTGCATATGCAATCAATGAATCGCTTTCATCTTATTTTTGTTTTGTTACATATACTTAAATTAATTACTTTCATATACCTAAGTTGCTACTTAATACTTAGCATAATGCTTATGCTACTTTATAATCAGAAAAAAAAAAAAATAAAATTTCTAATCAGTGAGTGCAATGTAAACGGCAATATTTGAGAATTATAACAAACTTTGTTACAAATATATTTAGCCGTTTACGTCAGTGCAGCAAGAGTGCAGAGAGTGAGAGGTGTTGGGAACACACGATTTATTTTTAACTCAGTTGCCGGCGCCAGCGATCTAAGAAGGCTCTGGCTGGCATACACAAAAGGTTAGCTTGCATCTACTCCTTCGTCAACAGTTCATTTAGACTAGATGGTTAACGCATCAGATTTCCCACAAGCCAAGATTGTTAAGCGTCTGGGTTCGAATCCCTGAGGCAGCTATGTAGACGCTTTTTGTGTTTGTAAAGCAGGCTAAAAGGAGAGAGAGAGAGAAGGGTGCTGTGTTGATGAGGGGGAGAGCAGATGGTTTTTTAAATATTTTAACAACAATCTAAAATAGAAAACACTCAAAAATTGTGTTACCCAAAAACCGTGTTAAAAAGTCCAGTTCATACCCTTTTTAGTTTTTACCCTAATGGGTTATTTTGTAACAAGGTTTGTTAAAAATATGATATAACCCTAACAATACTTGTTATATTCTTGATAGTACGTAGAAGATTTCTTGTTATATGTTTTGTTATTTTAACTACAAATGGTACATGTTTTATAACAGACCATGTTACGAATAATTTTATGCCTCAGTAACACAGTGTGTATTATTTCTGATACTTTCTTCTGGTCGGGACATCGACTATTAGTTCAAAAAATTCATCCCATCAAATTTCCTTGATTCTTTCCTTCTCATTCTTTTTTAAAAAGTTACAGTTTGAAAAACAATTCTAACCATATATTCTGCACATTTATCTCAATTTTTGAAATGCTTTGTAATGGATATATGAACTTTTTGGGCACACCGTGTCAATACTTTTCAACTTTTGGAAGCAATGTTTACAAATTAATTGCTTTATATATTTTATTTAAACATGTACTTTATAACCATTCTAGAACATAAAATAAATTCTAGATTATCATACTTACCTATTTTTACGGGAGATTGACACATAACTTTGATTTCAATAGCATTATGTTAAAAAGAGGATTTTTTGGAGCATTCCAGATTTTTCCAGAT